TGACAAAGTTTTGAACTAAAGTACTGGAAGTGTATATAATGGATGGGAGATATATTACAGATAAATATTATGAATAATTAAATGAGTTTAATTGAAAGAGGATGGAAATAATCTGTTGATAGTATAAAATGGAGGTAATAAAGATTAAATAATAATGGAGAATATTTGAAATTAATATATATTTTATATTATATATATATATAAAATAAATATAATAATAATAATATTTTATTTTATTTTTTAATAAATTTTGTTATCTAACATTATGTTGAAATAAGGTTGTGCAGTTTACCATAGGATTTCTTTCATGAGTATGGTTTATTTTTCCACTACAATTTTTACAACTCTATATTTAATCGAGTTTTTATTAAGAAGATAGCAATCAACTATCTTAAGAGGGGTATGCGAAATCTTTTGAGGAAGGTGGAAGGCAGCTCTAATGCACACCAAATGAACGCTATGATAAAAGGTATAGCACAATTTCAGTGCATTGCCACAATTGATATTTGAAAACCTTCAACATTGAAATAGTATCGTAAAATATTTTGAACCGCATGTGTTGCTCTTATATCCAACTGATAGTGGGTTTTTAATAAATGTGTATAGTTTCATCTTATATTTTATAATAGTAGATATATTAAACCAAGCAAATATTTAAATGCAACATTAAGCCAAAATTTCAAGGTAATGGGTGAAGAACTTTCTGAGATTTAAGAGTTTAAAAAAACCAACATTTACATTTTTATTTGCCATAAAATGATCAACACAAAGTTGAACATTAAACAATATATTAAATATAAAAAAAAAATTAAATTAAATATGAGTGGCTTGATATCAAAGGACAGATTTCTGTCATTTTCAGAAACCGGAAATAAAGTCAATTTTAGTTTTATAAGTTCATCTCAGAATGTTTCTGATGATTAAGAATGACGGCGTATTCACTCAGATGAATGTTCAAGTTGAATCATGAAAAAAAAAATCATCAGAATTAGTTTAAATTTAAGCCATTTTACAGACAAATTTGTTTCCCAACTTTTTAAAAATGACAGATGTCCTTTGGTATTAATCCACTCATATGTGATTTCTATTTTTTTTCTTTTCCATTTTGCCAGGCAAAGCCACAGCAGCGCGTCACCGGGTAAAGCTAGTATAATATAAAATATATATTAATTTCAAATATTCTCCATTATTACTTAACATTTATTTAATCTTTATTATCTCCGTTTTATACTATCTCCAAATTATTTCCACTGTTTAGGGAACACAGCAAATTTCCCATTTAAATTTAATTAAATCAACAGATGTTATTGTGACTCCGCCATTACTGAAGCGTAGACACTCACGTAGCGTGAGAGATTCACTAGACTGGCCAGTTTGAAAATTTGTTATTCCACTGATTTGCTGAATATGGAGTAAAACACTACTTCAGCCGGCAAGGGGCCAAGAAAGGAAGATAGACAAGATGAACAAGAAGACTGGCAAATAGAAGAAAAGAGAAAATGCAAGTATCCCAACCCACCTATATTTAACCTCTGTATAAAATTAAATGTTATAAAATAAAGCAATCAATTTTACATATTCACTTTTTTAGTCCATTAACTTCTCTAATTTTACAGTCCACAGCAATAAATTATCACCAGCTCTTAAAGCAAAATTATTATGTCAATATCCCTGACAGCTGTGGAAGGGATTGGCATAGTAAATTAAACATTTGGTCCTCCGGGCCGGTTATCATTAAATAATGATTAAGTCATACAATAGTTTTATTACTGGTCGTTTTATTAGTATTGGGGATTAAGTTAAGATTGATTAACTTTAATAAATATCTTAAAAGAAAATTACAGATTTTGCTAATCAACACAATATATTTTACACATACATAAAACATTACATCTTTAATAACCATAAAAACATGTGAACACATTATTTTATTTACATATGATATCAATTGTTTATCAAATTAAATTAAATCATATGGTTTGTCCTGCTCCTACATCTTGCATCATAAAGTAAATCAAAATTTTTATTAGTTTTCACCAGAACCATGTTTAATAATAAATTAAACATTTATGTCTCCATGCTTGATTTAATTAAAATCTATAAAGAATGAATCAAATGCTGCTTCTTATTATATCCTTCAGAAGTAATAATAGCGTTTTTTGTGTTTACAGTTTTGAAATACAACCGATTGTTATATCTAACCAAATTAACCTAAAGCAATTTTAGTATAAATTATATTTAATGTCATTCAGGTTATACGTACTATATTGGCACTCATATTTATAATATTTGTTTTCACCTTAGTGTTGCTTAAGTTTGTAAATTACCTTCTTATATTATTTATCACATCAAATTCAGCTATTAATTCATTAATTTCTATTCATTGGCCAATTATTTTCTGATATTTGAATTTAGGTTATTGATGCATGATATATATCTTTTTAAATCTTCCCCTCCATTTTTGAGCATTTCTGAATATATGCCATTAATACCAGGAGCCTTATTGTTCCTTAATTCGCCAATGATTTCTTCAACTTCTTCCTGTTCAGGCAGCTCTTCTTCTTCATCTCCTTCTCCGGGGACACCCATTCGGCATTTCGGTGCTTGGGTTCTACAAGAATTTCCCTGAAATATTCAGACCATCTCTGCGATATTTTAGCAGGCTCACCTATTATGGCCCCTTCTTTTATCTTACAGTATGAGATATTTGGTTGGAAGTCTCTTTTTATTTCCTTAATGCCTTTATAAAACTTTCTTGTGTTCTTTGAGCTGTGATCATTCTGGAGCTCCTCTAACTACCTATTTAGCCACATTCTTCCGTTAGAAAAAAAAAATGTGGCTGTAATATATCTCCCGTCCATTTTATACACTTCCAGTACTTTAGTTAAAACTTTGTCAGGCAACCGTCAGAGATGACGCAACAATGCAGCTCCCCTCTCTCTTGCTTCAATACCTCCATTCTATCCATAGCGATCTCTTCTATCAGGTCAGTTGACTATCTTATCTTATTCTTCTTCTTATTTCCTCCTTCCTTTTCACTCTATTTTCCATATTTCCATCTCCACTTTGTATATATTGATACCTTTACTCATTTGTTTTTTACTTTATTTTAACTCTTTATTCCCTTATACGTAGTCAGTACATTTTGATAGACTTCACAATATCTCAATTTTCTATTTAACCAGTCTATTTACAATATCTCAACTTTTCTATTTATATTTATTTCTTATATAACTTCATATTCCTTTTCTCTATTTTACATTTTATTCTAAGATTACCATTTTAGCACTTATGTTATCTTATTTTGATTATGTTTACTTCAATAGTCCACACTTTGTGATCATCATTATTGTTTATTTCTTAGTTCTTGTTATCGTCATTATTCTACCTACTTTTTTTCACTTTAATGTTCACTTATCTACTTTATTTTACTTTAAGTTTTTCTTTTTTTTTTTTACCTACATTGTTTATGTTTCTCATACCAATTGTTATCTGGTTCTTTTCTCAGCCCTGAACTTCGGGTCAAAACATTGGCAAATGTTAAAATAATATTATTATTTATTTTTGCCATTTTTATTTTGACCGATCACCCCAACTATCCTTCTCTTCATTATTACATATTTCATTTGTCCATTTCATGTATTATCAATCCCATTTTTTTTTTTTCATCGTTAACCATTATCTGTCTTATAATATAATATCTCTGATTGTATTAAACAATTTCCAGCCCTTATTATGACCCACATGTTTGAGTTGAAATTTTGGCACCAATAAAAACCTTTAAAATGACTGCGTCCTGATTATTTATCACCCATGATATGTACAACAGTCGACTAATTTCCTTCAATAAATAATGAAAATATAATCAATTACATAGAAAACTTTGGTACTTGTGAACAACCCGGTCGGCAGTAAAAGTCCCCTCTTATCTTATCTTACGCTACATAACCTGCCTTTTTATCTTGTGTATGCTGTTGCGTGTGAGTTATTGCATTGGTTATTTTTGTTTGATTGTTTATGGTTGAAATGGATGTTATTATATTGTGGGGATTGCTGTCTTCAGAAGAAGAGGCTATCAAATATTTTCAAGACGACGGGATAATTGCAAAGGTGAAATATTGTTAAGAATGTCATGAAATGAATTTCTACGGGAAGAAAAAATGGAGATGCTTTTAAAGGACTTGTAACAAAAACGTATTTATAAGGAAAGGAACGCGGTTAGAAGGGTCGAAGATTACTTTTTCAACCGCTTTAAAATTAATTTAAAGGTGGTCTCATAATTTGACAATACAGTGGGGCAAAGAATAGCTGAAATTATCGAACAGATGTATCATAATGTGGAACAAATTTTTAATAGAGGTTTGTGCCCCTAACATGTTATACAGGTCAACTAAGAAAATTGGAGGGCCTGAGAAAGTAGTTGAAGTAGACAAGTTTTTTTTTATAAAAGAAAAAATCATGTAGGGAGAGTTCTCTCTGAACAATGGATGTTTGGCGGAGTTATGTGAATTTTTGTGGCAGTGGGCTCAGAGAGAAGAGCCCGTTCCTCTCCATTTTAAATAGCATTAAGCTATTTTGTCTGCCAAAATAAAGTATGAACATATATGCATTGTGTGGGTAAAATCAAAGTGTTTTGTTATTTATATTTCTTAGTATTAAATTATAATATTATTATTATATTCATATTTCTTATTGTTACATTATTATATTTTTGTTAGTCTATTTCAATTTCAAATCAAAGTGTTTTGTTATTCTTACATTTCTTTTCATCTATTTCAAATTTGATAAATATGACATTTGTTTTTGTCTATTTCATATATATGTTGTAAAATAAAAGTGTTTTGTTATTATTACATTTGTTTTTGTGTTTTTGAATTTCATATGAAGATAGGGATTATCACTTCCTTATCAGAATTATCAGTGTTCAGGTTATAAACATTGGCACATAGCAGTCCATGGCGACTGGACTGTTCACAAGTATCAAAACTTTAAATACATACCCTAGCAGAAATTTTTTCCATTGCTCTTTCTACATGACGAGCTTTTAGATCAAGAGGTAAACAAATATAAGTCATACCAACTAAACGAAGGTATACAAACTTTTCCATAAATTCACTTTTTTTAATTATCTCATAATCACAAAACTTCAAATGAGAACAATCAGAATAGAAAAGATTAACAGTGCCAGTGTTTATATCTTTTCGCAAATATAATGGATTATTAGTAACAGCAACATCCTAAAAAATAAAAAAATATAATCAGAAGAAATTAGAAATAATTTCAAAAATTATTTTAAAATGTATTAACATTTCAACTTAAGCTACTACCAATCACTAAAACTGAGTAAGAGGTTGAATAAAAATTCAATTTTAGATTACCTAGTTTATTGACAACAAAATCCAACATATTTGCAGAAACAAGTTCGAAAAATGTATTTTTTTTTAGAAGGTACTAACCATTTTATTGAGGTATAATATATTTTACCACACTTAAGGATACTGAGTATTAAAGCTGTAAGGCACATTCATACCATATTTACAATATAATAAAATAAATTAAATGAAAAACATAAAAATAGATGTATAAAAGATAATAATGTATATATAAAAACTAATAAAAACAAAGAAATATAGCTTCTAGTGAAATAATACAGAAAATTCTTAAGGAAAAAAAAAGAAATAAAAAAAATTAAGTAAATTAACATTAATGATAATAAATTATAAGAATTGAGTAAATAGAAGAAACAAACAAACGAAAACAAAACTAACAGTCATACTTATTTACAATCAGCCAAGAGAGATCCCAGCGGTACTGTCTCAGCCGCGTCACTGGCATTAGAGTCCAGTGGAGACTAAGAGAGAGCACTACAGCCATAGACGCTCATGATCTAAGTGGAGAAGCTGGCCATTGCCAGAACTCCAATGACATAATTACAAAAGATTTCAAGGCCACTGCCGTTTCAACCTTCGAGAAGGATTGTAGGGATGACTGGAATTGGATAAGGACTGTGCTAAGGGATTAAGGTGGTAGATTCGAAAAATGTATTAAATCAATTCTTTAATTCTAGTTAATTTTTTTCAGCTGAAAATTAGTATTATTATAAATTTTGTTTGACAAATATTATTGTGGGATTCCTTTATTCTAAAATATGGAATAAGGAAGTTTGGTAATAATAAAACAATCTGGAAACAGGGATATACTGAGACTAGAAACCAACTAGTCAATTCTATTTAAAAAAAAAACTCAAAAATTTCAAGGGAAGAAACATTTGTACTTGAAATTGTTACATAAATAAAGTTAAAAGAATTCCTAAAAAAACAAAATCTTCTATAAGGGTTTGTTGGAGACATGTCTAGAAAACAAGTTTAAAGTACGTTATAGTACAGCTCCTTTAATTTACTAGCAGACTGTTAAAACTTGGAGACTAATATTATTATACAAGATTATAATATACTTTCTAAATTATCAGAGCAGGTTGTTTTTGGAAGTTATTTATACATTGGATCAATACCATAGCAGTAATATAAAAAAATTAATGTTTGAAATCAAAGAAAAAAATAATGTAACTAATGCCTCTGTTCTTCCCACTGAATTTAGCTTCTCGAATTTTATTGTTTATTATTCCTTATATTAGAAATAATATACACCATTTAATTTCTTTGGAAAAAAATGTACTTGTTAATTATAGCATTGCTATTTCTTATAAATTAAATTATTTATAATAAAATCATAAAAACACAAGCTAATGTAAACAAAACTAATTTCATTTATTTCTAACAAAAAATCATTTGTATTTACTAAAATTTGAGTAAATGGTTCTTTTTTTAAGTTGGGTACGCCACATAAATTCTGCTAAATAAGATGCTGTGAAATTCCGACATTACTAAATGTTTTAAACAATATTTCATACTTTTTAATTGCTCACACCATGAATAAATAAAGCATACTGCATTTTCCAAACATACTTTGGAATTAGCAAACCATGTTTCAATTTTTATTTCGATGCTTTTCCTACAATTTTGTTTGTAGCATCACCAATATCTTTTTTTACCAAAATAAAGATTCATTTCATAGTCGTTAGAACATATATACCTTCATTCTTGGTAAAAGTTCTTTAACCGGAACACAATTGCCGTTTTCTCATCATTAATCTCGTGAAAAATGTTTTAATATTTACATTATGAGGTTACTTTTTTAAATGTATATCAATTTTTGTCAATAACAAAACAATGGACATATGTTCTAATATTGGATAAATTATTATTCTAGAGTGGTGATACTATAATAACCAAGTACCGAAAATACATTCATAAAACAAGTAATTTTAACATTAATAATCATAAATAAATTCACTCACTTTCATGCATTCTTTAATATCAGAGGATACTTCAACATTGATATCAAGTTCGATTGTGAATACACCACACCAATCAATACCCGTAGGATATAACTGCTGAGTTGTATCATACCATATTGGTCTTTTTGCACCAGGCTTCTGCAATTCAAAACCAACTCCTACAACCAATACTTTGCCCTCATACATGACTCCAAACAAGCAGCCAGCAATAGGTGAATATACATCCTCTAATCTCTATTCAAAATAATAATATTTGTCAACATACATTTTAGACATATATATCTGAAAGCTACTAACTGATAAGAAATTCAGATGAGAAAATCTGAAATAAACTAAATTGTAAGTAGTTCAAATAAAGTAAATCAATGAATTAAATATTAAATAGAATAAGTTAATTAGAACCTTTAGAACATTGTCAAGTATTTGAACGTTTGGTGGCATGTTTAATGATCAGATTCTGTTCTTATTCTAATTTAAATTACAAAAGCAGAGAAGATTCGACTGGGTCAATTAAAAAAAAAAAACACAAATGAAAAACAAAAAAGACCCTAATAGGGACAAATTTAAAACCTTTTAGTGCCACATACAACACATGTCACATAGTCGTTAACGAACAATTTGTTTTCATGGCCAAAGAGAAATAACCGTACTGTCAAATCGTACTTTTACATTCCTTTCAACACATTTTAAAATTGAGATGGGTCCAAGAATTCGTTTTAAAAATAAATAATAAAAAACATTACAATAAAACAAAAAATATATTAATGAAGCTTTTCAACCGAAGCGTGTGGATCATCATCAGTACTGGAAACTAATGATGGGTCCATATAGGCGGAGCTGTGATAGTATCAAGTGACTGGGTCGGAGCTGGTGAACACAATAACAGGCACACCGAAATCACAGTGACAGTCACTGTAGGAGCTGTGAAATCACTGTGCTCCAACAGTGACGGTCACTGTAGTCGCCATGGAATCGCTGCGTCCCAACAGTGACGATCACTCGCTCCTATTCTCCAGCGATGTGGGCACTGTTGACATCATGGAGGACCCATGTTGTATTTAATCTTGCCTGGACGGTGGGGAAGAACTTTCTGAGAGTAGACCCTTTCGGACTTGTCACCCACCGTCTGTTCCACTTTTCAATCGACTCCTCCTTGATAATCTTTTTTCAATGGTTTTAATTCTCATCGATCCTCTCACGGAGCCCCTCCGGTAGCGTCTCTAGTCCATGTCTCTTCAAATGGAACTTGATTGTATCCTCCTTCAGGATTAGTTCCAGGGACATCGCTCTGGCCAGCACCTGTACCGCTTCGTGAGACACCGACTTATAGGCCTTTGTTGTCCCCATTAGGGCGAATCTCTGGATGGTGGCCATCTTCCTTGGATCTGATTCAGGTGGCAGCTCCACGCTGGGGATGAGAACCTCAGTATACCCAGCACGACTCCCTTGTAGATGACACTCGTGGCCCAAAAAGCAACCTCTATCCTTTTCAGGTCATTAAGTGGCAGGGTCACCCTATTCCGCAGGTGTTCAATCTGGGGAGAGACATTGAACTTCGTGTTAAACCTCACGCCTAGGTAGGTAAACTCCTCACCTAGGCGGACACTCTCCCCTCTGACTCTGAGACTGATAGGGTGAGCCCTATCTGTTGAACCTTTCAGCAACATGGCCTGAGTCTTTGCCGCCATCATCATTCTCTTCTTTTCACACCATCCTTCGACTATGGCGGCGCACCTCTCTCCTTCCGCCACCAATCTCGCCCTACTGTTCGCTGCCACAACGACGGCCAGTTCATCCACGTATGTTACGGCACAGAAGCCCGCTACCTCCAGTTCCCCTCGCAATTGGTCGAACACCAACTTCCACAGGATCGGTCCCAGAACTGAGCCCTGCTGGCATAAGCTTTCAATTTCTCACTCGGCCTTATAGAAGGTCTTGACTCTAATGTTCCTGAGGTAAGCCCTAATGAGAGAGCATAAGTTGCTGGGGTATCGAACTGCTGGAGGCGCTGGAATACGCAGGGCCACCATACACTATTAAAGGCGGAAGATATGTCAAACAGGACCATCACGACATACCTCTCCAGCCTGTCATCTATGTCCCTGTGTAGTTCCATTAGGGCATCTCCGGTACCCCACCCCTTCGTAGATCCGTATTGCCTCGGGTCACTTGCTACCCGCAGGACTGGCTACCTCCAGGACCTTACTCAAAACAGGGAGGAGGCATACCGGCCTATATGACTTTGATAGCTCCTTGTTCTTACCTTCCCTTATATACAGCATTCTGAGGTCGGTGATCTTCCATTGTGTTGGGAAGTGCCCCCTGTCCAAACAAGTGTTAATTATTTCCAGTATCTTTTCTTCTATGTACGCGGCACTCTTCTTTAGGATTGCCGCGTCAGTGGTATCGAGTCCTGGAGCTCTTCCTATCCTTTTCCTATCTATCGCCATCCGCAGGTCTCATCCGTCCCACGGTGGAATAAAATCGGTACCAGGCGGGTATTCTGTTGCCTGTCGCAGGGCCTTATCTTCCTCGTTATCCTGGGACGGGCCATCCCTGGAGTACGTCTGTTCTAGGTATTTTATAACCCTTTCCCCCAGGGCGGCTGTTGGCCCTCCTTCCGTCCTTATCGCCGCCATCACTTGGACCGATCTAAGCTTATCCATCACCATCCTGTACGGTATTCCCCTGGGATTTTTCTCAGTTTCCATTCTTATGAACTCGTCCCAGGTTATCCTCTTCTGCCACCGCACTCCGACCTTGTGTCTGTTCTGAATGCCTCTGCATTCCTCCCGGAGTGCCGCCTTTCTGCCTTCGATCCTGCACTTTTGGTACCTCCGCCTGGCCCTATGGTACTCCTTTTTGAACTCTGTTAACTCAGCATTCCACCATGGGACACGCCGTCTCCTGATGCCACTTGGTTTCAGCAAGTCATCCGCAGCAGCACATAGGACCTTAGTCAGGTCCTCCACGCGCAGGTCCAGATCACAGCCAACATGGTGATTGGGTTCATTGCCTCCTGCCAGTCCCGGTCCGCCAACTCGGACTCTAGTGCACTGGTGAAGCGCGTCCAATCTGCCATGATATTGCTCTACTGACAGGAACTCACTGTACTCAATGTTAATATTTACACATAAGTGATTAAATCACTTATAGATCAGCCACCCCGACAACACTTCCCATACCGGTTCCTGCATCTTTATCCATTAATCCTTACACCATTATCTTATTCCTTCCACTCCAACAGAGGCTATTCAAGTAACCTCGGCAATCATTTCAACCCGTCCTTTTCACCTTACACGTTCAGCTGTATAGTGTCCTCCAAAGCATTCTCTTTCCTGCAATTTACTGGAATCCTTATTCCAATCCCTTGGATTGCGCTTTATTGCTGGAGGAGGCTACAATGTTAAACACCAATGATGTGGTTGTCGAGCATCCAACTCCCGTGGTAACATACTTTCTTCTCTCTCAATTCCCAATAGTTACTCCGTCATCTCTCCGCTGAATCCTACCTATTGACCAACTTTCCTCAAAAACGCCCTGATATCCTGGACATATTTGTCATCTCCCAGATTTCCTGTTCCATGTTACAATCAAATCCCTGGATGGTCTATTTTCAGATCATAGCCCAGTTCTGCTTTCATTACACTCAATCTTTGCTCCTAAGCCCTCCTCACTTCCTACATTGATTTCAGGACGAGCAAACTGGGACAAATTTTGTAATGATTTGGAAAACAAATTGGATTTAAATATTCCACTCAAGACAAAACATTGACACAGCCATAGAATTACTTACATCTATAAGACACACAACAAACGATAAAACATCTATCAATAAAATTAACAACTCCCAACAGACTAACTTGCCACAGCACAACCGTATCTTATTACGAGAAAAACGCAGAGCAAGATCGAAGCGACACAGGACTAGATACCAATCAGATAAAACTTATTACTACAAGTTAACTAACCAACCAACCAAAATCATAAATTGAAAAATATAAAATTCAAAATTTACCTACTTTACCAGAAAATCTTACTACTGAGAAATCGCAATAGTTGGCCACCATGAAGCTCCTAAAATTCAAAGATTTTAACCATCCTCTCATTACTGAAACTCAAACCTGGTCTAGATCTAATGATGAAAAATCTCAAATATTTGTTTAGCACCTCTTCAAAACCTTTAATTAACCCAGATGTCTACCTAAATCCAATCCACCTTGAGTGTATTGAAACAGATTTGCAAATTCCCACTCCAACTGACCCTTCCACCTAAAGCATTCCATTCTTCAGAAATATCCAATATCATACACAGATTACCTTCCCGCAAAGCTCTTTGTTCCGCAAACTCGATCTAACCAGATCCTGAAAGTGCTTCCTCGGAAGGCCATTCAATTTCTTACTTATATATATAATGCTGTATTCCGATCCAAATATTTTCCCGATCCTTGGAAATTATCTGTTATTAAAGTGATACATAAACCCAAAAAGCCACCAGAATAATCATCCTCTTACCGTAACCAAATAAAAGAGAGATATTTTACCCTTCATGGGAAAAATCCTGGAAAAACATATCTTAAAACGCCTGTATCTCATTCTAGATTCTAATCACACAATTCTGAATCACAAATTTGGAATTCTCACATCTCATTTCAGTATCTAGCAATGTCATCGGGAGGTAGACGTAGATTTTTGAAAGATTTTGTTTGTTTATTCGGGCTTTAAGGCACAAAAACCCCAGGGTCATCAACACCTGTTGTTCATTTATTTTTATTCACTGGAGTTCATAAATTCCTTATAAGGGAAAAAGCAAAAATAAAGAAATAAATGAAATAATAAGAATAAATGATTTTTTTACTTTTTATTCATTGATATTTACAACTGTATCATAAAAAAATACAACTAGTAAATGTGCACACAGTAATAATACAATCACATGAAAATGCTTGTTGAGAAACTACCCATTGGTAGCACTCTAATAATATATTTACATAAGTAGATCACGAGGCCATCTTCTTTTCAGACGCCTCGGAGGGTTATCAGGGATCGAGAAGGAAGCAAGGTTTGAAACGAGAGGATTCGGATGGTTGTGGAGTTTGTTATGGAAGGATAGGTATCTGGATTGGGCCAAATCAGAAACATATGGAACATTAAGGTCTTTATGGATGCTTTTGTGACAAAGTAAGGAGCGTTGAGGATTTTACGAAGGATTTTGGATTGTAAGGATTGGATACGAGAGGAATTCGATGGTTTAGTGGAGCTCCAAAGCTCAATTCCGTAAGTCTAAATAGGTCTTATTATTGTCATATATATGAGTCGTTTGTAATTGATTAGAAGCTTAGAGCGTTTGTCTAGTAAGTATTGGAGTAGTCGGAAACGTCGAGCAGTTTCTTGTTGTTTCAGTCTTGTATGAGGATTCCATGTGAGTCGTTTGTCCAGGTGGAGTCCTAGGTAATGGATTTGTTCAACTGGGATAAGTGGGAATTATTTAACGATACTGTAGGACAGGAGG